TGTAAGCAGGGAGGGACCTGGAGATGTGTATATGCACATATATATTAAAACCAGCTAGAAGTCTGTTTTCTGTAGTAAGAGCTACAGCTAGTGAGATGAGAGGGAAGATTCCTTTCTGCTTATTCATGTTGTCCTCAGTATCTCTTGCCACCCGTTGTGGTGCTTGGTTTGGTTTACTAGAGAACAGATGTCAGTGTGCTACATGTCATCTCTAGCCAGAGCATGTGTGTATGACCTGCAACTCAACCTAGTTTGGTTTGAATGGGTAAGGCAGAAGCTCTCAATTAACCAGTTTTGCATGGAAGTTAATTCAGTAGTGTTGGATTTCTTAATTGTTGGTTTAGTTTTGGTTTTTAAAGAGAGAGATCATAAGACCACTGCAGAAACATGTCTTTATTTGCCTTGTTTGTTAATCTTGCAGCAATGATCAGGTTGTGTGACCAGGAGTAGGAAGGGTCTTTGTGTAGCATAGGAACAGCTTATTTCCCTGTGGAACGCCAGTCGTTTGCTTTGACTGATGTTCCTGTTGTAGCTCTGCTCTGAGCCCTCATTTGCAGTCTCTGGAAGGATCAATTCTCCTCCTTTGGCTGCTATTTCCTGCAGTTAAGGCGCTCAAGCTGCTGTTTTCTGACTGTGGGGAGCCATGAAGTCGTATGACTTGTGGAAGGAGCAGAGATAACAACAAGCACCCATCTGTTCTTCTTTTCCATCCCTTCGGGATGTCCGGGTGTCCCCTGGTTAGAATTCTTCTCCGGATGAGATAGTGGAGGTGTCACTGGGGGGCAGTCAGGCCAGAAAACAATAGCGGGTTGAGTCCAAAATAACAAGATTGATCAGTAAGTACATCTCTGTCAATAAGGGGCAGAGCTGCTCTGTAGAGGTCAAGGCTGGAGCTGTACCCCACATCCCTTCAGCTCCTTCCTCTGATAAACTTGCAGGAGAGCTTTCAAACTTGCTCTTCAGAGAGCCTGGGTTCAGAAGCTCCATCGAGAGGAAGGCTGCGAGAAGCCAGAGTGTGTGCAAGGGCTTTCAAGCCTCTGTTATTTGAGTGGTAAAACTTTTCTTTGGCCGAGAGGAATGTTCCAGTACTTGTTTTTCTGTCTCTGCTTTGTCATCCAGCTGCAGCCAGTGTCTTCGATGGGTGAGTAAAGGGGCATTGCCTTCAAGCTTATTTCTGTTGGCTGGCTTTA